ACATCCTGTATAACGTCGATATATTAAAGTTTATCGTAATAATTTAACTTAAGCTTCGCAAATTTTAAATAAACAAGAAATAGCAAATTCCACAGTTTTATCAATTTAATACTAATTAATTATTAATATATAGTAATATAAAATTACAGAAAATTACAAGATGTAAAAGAAGAACTTATCTTTAAAACGCAATCACATATACATAGCAATTTTTGTAAGATTTTTACATTTTGAAAAAGTAATTATTCAATTGTGTGTTCGATATATTATATTGTAATTATTATAGCTAAATATTTATATAGTATAATGTTCTAATACTTCTAATTGCACTATTAATAATTAATACTCTTTCACATAGTTAATAATTAATAATTAATTGAATTTTCGTTATGCTATTATTAAATATGCTCGGTTCGTTTTATATTTGTTCAAATTTATATATTGTGTCTAAAAAAAGACATCGAAAATTGAACTTACCAAAAATTTGATACAATTTCTTGCCTATTGCATGATCACACGAGAAACGCGATTAGTTCGTGACACGAAGGAATTGTCACCACGAAAGCGAAATAATTGCAGACTCGCTCTCAGCGAATTCCTCGCGCGAATTACCGCGCTATCGATGTACACTGACAACATATAGAAATAAATACAATAAGGTCACAAAGATGGATAACCTCGGTGAATCAAGAGATTTCTTTGACGTTGCAAATAATGCGAGTACGTTATATGGACGCCGCTGTACATTCTTCGATGCGATAAACGTATTTCTGTTTATTGGCACTTAACGAATGAGGTACTTTTCGTAACCGTTGCAAATCAGAAGTTTGCAAATACAATATAATTTCAGAGTATTTTTTCCGGCCTCATAAATAGTGCAGGAAAACAATAACGTTCACCTCTAACTATATTAATATTTAAAGAATATTTTGTGATTTTTTTCGTTTTGTCGCCGTACAACTTGTAGGCGACATTCCTGAACTTTCACCATGAGGATTGGCATGCAAATTCACGACACCGCATATTCCTAGCATAATGCCTTTCATAATAACATGGCTGAATTATGCTGAAATATGGGAGCCGCAAAAATCAAATGCAAAGAGTTCTTTCTTTTAGTTCGATCAGCAGATGATTCCGTCACACCGTACTGTTGATAAACAGAGCATAATACTTTTAATGGTATTTTTACAAAGTCCTTACACTCTGTTTACCGACAGCACAACGCGCACATTTCGCGGAAAGAATGATACCGTGTATCGCCGCAAGGCGATGAATTATATCGTTGATTTACATATTTATTACATATTTAATTGAAAACCTAAAAATTTTATTTAATCGCGATTTTATTTGTAAAGATTTTTTCATCGGAAATACTTGCTTTATAAATCGCCGATTTAATTAGCGTGATTATAATATTTGTGGCATTAGAGCAAATGTGACGCAGTATTTTTCATGATATATTTGATAACTAATATTTTTAATTTCAAAATATGTTATTTAAGAATAATTAATTTTAAAAAATTTTTATTTAATAATTCTAAATGAAATAAAACCTTTATTTTCTTATTTTATTATGAGTTTTATTGTTATTTATTATTCTAATCTTTTGAGAAATATTTAAGTGTCACATTTGCTCTAATGCCATAATCACTTTCGTTGATTTTACTCTCTGACGATCACATTTTATGCATGATTTTCGCGTAATTACGGAAATTCTGGTTGCTCGATCGCACGAAAGATATCACTCGATTTTTTCATCTTTAGATTTTTTTCTTTTAACACAAAGAAGCTTCAGTCCGACATTTCACAGCTCGATCTCGGCACTGACTCGAAGGCGACGAAGTATCGTTACATCTCATACACAAGACGACTGGCCGAAGTGCCTGATGACACTCCACGATATGGAGTATTTATTTACACCGTATGCAAGTGCCATAGACATAATATGGCCCGGAAATGCGATAAAGGGTGTAGGTGACAGCGATGCCAGAACTCGACGAGTATTCTTCTCGATGTATTAATATTCGACAAATTATTTTAGTATTATTTCCTGTATTAACACCATTCTGCATTATTACAAAGATTTATTTTATTTTTGTTTGATTGATTGACGTTTCTTTAATTTATTTCTACAAGCTTAAAATATAAAGTTAATAAAAAAACCATGTCAATCGCATTTTATGTTATAATTTTTTTTTAATGCTTATCTCATTTGCTTGATATTGCTTTGTTAGATTTCAATTTCTTTCAAAAAGTCAATGAAATTATTTTAACAGAAAAGAAACAGAAATAAAAGCATAAAAAATATCAAGAATATTATATGGATTACCTTAATATCTATGAAGCATAAAAATATTATAGAAAAGTAACGAATTCAATTCAGAGATTGTATATTTCTTTTTTTATATATTACAATGGATAAATATAATAATCGGTCGTTACCTGTATGGGGATCACCTGATATTCAACCCTAGCTACACGGTAATAATGGCTCGGTCGATGCTATTACTGGAGCGAGATTCGCGAAAATATCCGGTCATTATCGCGATACACCTGATCGCATTCATGACGATCAGCCGGGGTGGCCAAGGAATACATTTGCAGCTGCAATTGCACGAGAGCGAGTTGGTTTCGGATAACGGACACCATACGAACGGGTCAAAGTGTTATCCGAAACCGCGACTTTTGCGCTGTCCTAGAGGATCTTGTAACATATATAACGTTTAACATAATTAATTAATACGAGAACAGTAATTTGCCAATATTTAATCTCGTTGTTAAATGAAGAAAAAAGTATATCGATCTATTCGCTTATAAAAATTGAGAATTTTTTTGTTATATTTTAATAATTTTTTTTCTTTGCTGATATTTAATCATTTAATAAATTTAATTAAATTTATCATTTAATAAATGTTTATAAAAATGCCAAATATTGCCAATCTTAATAATCATAAAATATTTTATTTAAATTTCCGATATATATTTTATAAGATTAGCATTTTTATAAACATTTATTAAATAATAAAAATGTTTCCGATCGTCTTTATTACTTTATATATTTATATGTAAATAAAACTACTATATAAAAGATATTTGTTTTTATTATTTGCTATGTCCCGGTAAAAATTTGTTATGCATGAATATGTATAATTATGTATAAATATACATGTTTACTATACATTATTATTATATATTAGACACATCTCTCTTTGTATTTAACGAGTAACATGTGACAATCAGAACGGACATGACTTTCTTTTATGTTACTTAAATTATTTTTCAATCCAACTTCGACATCGTGATTTTTAAATATGTTGTAATGGATTGAGACGATGCTTGGATCCGCTTGCGATTGTTGTTGGAGATGGGGTGAATTTCTGGCTAGCATACATTAATTACGCAAATTAATATCCATTTTTTTCAAAAATATCTCGTTGCAATTATTAGCTTGAGTTCCACTACCTACTCCACTCAGCTAAGCAACTGGTTTCACAACATTAGACTATGTTGAAGATGATTGTCTCTCACCACATTTCCACTACGACTGCATTATTAGAGGTCGGAACTACGATTGTGCGAGACGCAGTTCGACAGATTTTATAGTGCGGTAATTTTTTATTGCTGAGGATGGCTCAAATAGTAAGCCGAAACGTACAAAATTGAATTCTTGACATATTAATAGATATCAGTTAGCTTTGCGCAATGTAATATCCAGCGCTGACTCCTAACGCCCAGTTATATATTTTGTCGTTATTATCATTGTATATTATTATTATTTCCATTACACTAAAAAGCAATTTTACAAAAGAAAGAAGGATCTACGAACATGTATGGACACATTTCATATATGATTATACATGTTTTTGTATGCTTATACATATTTATATATATTAAATTTTTTATGCATTTTATAGAAATAGACAGCTGATTAGTTTCAGCAATTTCTTATGGGACACCTTGTAAGTGGTAATATTTGAAATAAAATTTTAATATATAAAATAATTTATGTTATAAAACAAATATTTTTTTATTAATTTTATATCTGTTTTATATTTTAATTTCTTTGCAGGATAGAGGAGGAACGAAATATATAATATTTTTATTAGACTCTTTAATTTATAATTCTTTAATTATTCTTCAATTTATTAATATTCTATATTGCATGTTTGGCAATTAAATCTTATCATAATTTTCATTAAATTGAGCTTTGTAAATGTTAATATTTGAAAAAAGTTTGAAACGATATACAGGGTATTCCGACCTTTTTTGCCAATCACTTTTGTGTAGATAGAGTGGACTAAATTGAGTCGAAAAATCCTCTACCATTTTGCAATTTTCGCAATAGTTAACAAGATATTAATTACTAAAAAT